AACACCCCGAATTTTTTTACTATTACAATGTTGATTATTATTTATTTTTGTATAGTTATTTTAGTTAATTAAAGGGTTTATAAAATATTTTTAAAGGTTTGTAGTAATTTAATTATTTATTAAATATTTTATATAAAATTTTGTTTCTTTACCCTAGAACGGGCTGTTCCAAAAGTGGAACGAGTCGTTCCAAATGAAGAAAATAGGTTATTTTTTAAGTATCAGAACAGGCCATTCCAAAAGTGGAACGGGCCATTCCAAATTTATAAAAAGGCCCATTTTGATTTCTCCAGAACGGGCCATTCCCAAAGGGAAACGGGCCGTTCCGAAATTCTAAAATTGCCTAAAAAGTTTAGGTAGAAACTGGACGTTCCAATAATAGTCAATGTGTGTTCACGAGAACTCCAGAACGGCCGTTCTAATTTTAGAACGGGTCGTTCTGCTTTTTGAAAATAGGCTGTTCCGGTTTTAGAACGAGTCGTTTCAGTTAAAATATTTACGTATATTTGAAGACTCCGGAACGGGCCGTTCCAAAATCAGTACGAGCCGTTTCGGGTAGCCCAGGATGCCTATAAATAGGGGCAAGGGGGGCTGAAAAAATTATACTAAGTGAGAAGTGAAAATCTTAGAGAAAGAAAGAAAGAAAGAAAGAAAGCAAGAAAGAGAGAGAGACACAGAGAGAGAGAGAGAGAGAAAGAGAAAGAAAGAGAGAGAAAGAGAAAGAAAGAGAGAGAAAGAGGAAGAGGGAATCTAGAGGAGGAGGTTCTGCTCAAGTTTCAATTCCTGCTTATCCAGGTAAGGGGGAAAGTGAGAAACCTCGCTCGGGATTAAAGGGATAATTGTTGGATAGTTTGATTGTTGGATTGACCCCCAATCCTTTGCCTATTGTTCTATTTTATGTTCTATTTTCTCTACTTTGTTCCTTGTTACTCTGTTCCTTGTTGGAGGTAATAAATATATATGTAATTAATTTTAAAATAAATAAGTTCTAATGTGAATAAGAATGCTCTCTATGAATTCCTATGCGGACCTTATGAGGAATAATTATGACATTACCATGTGAAATATGGACAAATGACATGAGACCTAAGAATGGACTATTGAGACAAATTGTGATTATGAGACTATGACAAATGAGGACATGATGTACTAAATAAAATTCTGTAATAAGTTAAATGTTGAGTCAATGAAATAATGAATGTATGTCATGCATCATATATATGAATGACTCCAGGTGTGCTGCTCAGGCCGCATACCCACGATGTAACATGCTAATCAGGTGTACCTTATGGTCACCCACGACTAACAAGGTGTACCTTAGGGTCACCCACGACTAACAAGGTGTACCTCCGGGTCACCCACGACGTAACATGATAACCAAGTGTACCTTAGGGTCACCAGTGATGTAACCAGGTGTACCTTAGGGTCACTAGTGATGATATGTGAAACTTCCTTATGGCGCCACATGCATACATTTATGAGTTGAGTCCATGACATCATTGCATGATAAATAAGTGTATATATGTTGTTGATTATGTATGTGTGACTTATATTTGTTGTGTGTGTGTGTGCTATCTAACCTTTATTTCTTCACCTGAAACTGAGTGAGATGTTTCTCACTCCCTTGTTGTTCTTGTATATGTTTAAATTATGTTGCAGGTGATCAGCATCATGAGGATGTTGGTGATGAGGCTTAAGGCTTCAGTTGGGCATGCTCTGATAGGATGAGACATCGGGCATAGCTAGGCTTATTTTTGGGATGTTATTGTTTTAAAAGCTTTAATTACCTCTTCTTTTGTAATTTTGAATGTTCTTGATAAAAGACCAAAATGTACATCTTTGTCATATTATTTTCATTACATGATTTGAAAGTTATAAATTAATTCCTAACTAGGAGGCACTGCCACCTTTGTTGGAATTAATCTATATTTTCTTTTATATGATTTCTTGAATTTGGACACTTACATGATTTATGAGTTACGAATGTGAATCTTCTACCTTATGATATTTGAGACAATTATTTTATCCATGAAAGAAGTTGTTAAGTATGAAAGATTTTATTTACTCAAAAAGAAAAAAAAATTATTCCTTTACATTTAGTGTATTTATGTTGGGGTAGAGGGTGTCACATTTAGTGGTATCAGAGCTGGTCGATCCAATCGACCATGTGTTATGAGTTTACTATGCTTATTTGGTAAATGAATTTTAGACTGAATTGATTGTGGAACTTGTTGGTATGCTAATATGGTGATTTATTATGTTTATTAATTGTATTATTTTCTTAGACTATGGCTGGTAGAAATGATCGTTCGATTGCTGATGCTCTTCAAGCATTAGCATAAGCTATGAATAATAACAATAGGGATGGAGTCGCTCCTAATTGGTTGGAGCAATTTCAGCGAAATCACCTACCTACCTTTAAAGGAGGATATGACCCAGATGCTGCTATGAATTGGCTAACGGAGATTGAGAAGATCTTCAATGTCATGGATTGTCCCCTCACTCAGAAGGTGAAGTTGGCCACTTTCATGTTGACTACTGATGCTCACTTTTGGTGGGAAGGAGCACTTCAAAGGATGATTGATGGGGGGGTGCACTTGAGTTGGGACAACTTCAAGAAGGCTTTTCTTGAGAAGTATTTCCTGGATGATGTGAGGAGTAGGAAAGAAATGGAATTCCTTGAGCTGAATCAAGGAAACGACACTGTGGCAGAGTATGCTGCCAAATTTGATGCCTTGGTCCGTTATTGTACACACTACCATGGTGAGGGTGGTGAAAGGGCTAAATACATAAAATTTGTAAATGGTCTGAGTCCTGAAGTGAAAACTGCAATTAACTATCAGGAGATATATCACTTTCCCACTTTGGTCAATAAGTGCAACATTTATGATCGTGATAATCGTGCTCGTGCTGCTTTCTATAAAGGAGTTGGAGGTCCTATCCATGCTGTAAGCTCTAGTACTTTGGGTAGGAATAAGCCTTACTCTGCTTCTACTAGATTTCAAGGGAGTAAAGCTGTTGCTAATGGAAGCAAGTCATTTACTAGAGGATCCACTATTAGTGCTACTGGAAGTGTTGGAGGGTCTGTGTCCATTCCTTCAAGAAGATGCGGGAAGTGTGGACGTAGGGAGAGTATTTGCTTTTAGTGGTGCTGAAGCTGCTCGGTTTGAAAATTTGATACAAGGTACTTGTTTCATAGCTGAGACTCCTTTTGTTGTACTATTTGATTCTAGTGCAACTCATTCCTTTATTTCTATCTCTTGTGTCCAAAAATTTAATTTGTCTATGTCCTTGTTAGAGTTTGATTTAGTTGTTGAAACTCTTACTAATGGTCCTGTGACTACATCCCTAGTGTGTTTGAAATGTCCTTTGACAGTTTCTGATAAGCAGTTTCTAGTTGACTTAATTTGTTTGCCTCTTAGTCAATTAGATGTAATTCTTGGTATGGATTGGTTATCATCCCACCATGTCCTTTTAAACTGCTTTGAGAAATCTATTTCCTTTGGTGAATGTAAGAGTACGAAATTTCTTAGTGCTGCTGACATTAAAACTTGTTTAAAAGAAAAGGAAAGAGTGTACATGATCTTAGCTTCCTTAACACTTGAGACTGATAGTAAGCTAGATGAGATTCCCTTAGTGAGAGAATTTCCAGAAGTATTCCCTAAGGATGTGTCTAGTTTACCACCTGAGAGAGAGATTGAGTTTAGCATTGACTTAGTACCTCACCTATATCTATAGCACCTTATAGGATGTCCCCTAAAGAGTTAGTTGAGCTTAAGAAACAAATAGAGGAACTGCAAGGAAAACAATTCATTAGGCCTAATGTCTCGCCTTGGGGAGCGCCTATTTTATTAGTTAAGAAGAAAGATGGGAGCATGAGGTTGTGCGTAGACTAAAGGCAACTGAATAAAGTAACCATTAAGAATAAGTTTCCCTTGCCTAGGATAGATGAACTTATGGATCAACTAGTTGGAGCTTGTGTGTTCAGTAAGATAGATTTAAGGTCAGGATACCATCATATTATAGTGAGAGCTGAGGATGTTCCTAAGACTACCTTTAGGACCCGCTATGGGAACTATGAGTATTTAGTTATGCCTTTTGGTGTGGCTAATGCACCTGGTGTTTTTATGGACTACATGAATAGGATCTTTCACCGCTACTTGGATAGATTTGTAGTGGTCTTCATAGATGATATCCTAGTGAATTCCAAGACTAGGGAAGAGCATGTTGAGCACCTTAGGATCGTTCTTCAGACTCTTAAGGAGAAACAGTTGTATGCTAAATTGTCAAAATGTGAATTTTGGTTGGATAGTGGGAACTTTCTAGGACATGTGATATCCAAGGGTGGGATAGCTGTAGATCCTGCTAAGGTAGAAGCTGTGTTAGAGTGGAGCACACCTAAATCAGTATTTGAGATTAGGAGTTTCTTAGGATTAGCCGGTTATTATAGAAGGTTTATAGAGAATTTCTCTAGGCTAGCTCTTCCTTTGACCAAGCTGACAAAGAAAGACCAACCTTTTGTGTGGGATTCTAGGTGTGAGGAAAGTTTTCAAGAGCTTAAGAGGAGATTAACTAGTGCTCCTGTGTTAGTGTTACCTGATCCTAGTAAGACTTTTGAGGTATTTTGTGATGCTTCTAAATTGGGTTTAGGAGGAGTACTTATGCAAGAGGGTAAGGTAGTAGCCTATGCTTCTAGACAACTTAAAATTCATGAGCAAAACTATCCTATCCATGATCTTGAGTTAGATGCAATAGTATTTGTGCTTAAGTTGTGGAGACATTACTTGTTTGGGTCTAGGTTTGAGGTTTTTAGTGACCATAAAAGCCTTTAATACTTGTTTTACCAAAAGGAATTGAATATGAGGCAGAAGGGGTGGTTAGAGTTCCTTAAGGATTATGACTTTCAATTGAATTATCACCCTGGCAAGGCTAATGTTGTAGCTGACGCTTTAAGTAGAAATTTTTTTAGAATGTCTTCTTTGATGATTAGGGAATTGCATATGATTGAGGAGTTTAGGGATATGAGCTTAGGGTGTGAGTTGACCTCTAAGAGTATTAAGTTGGGAGCTTTGAGAGTAACTAATAGCTTGATAGATGAGATTATAGAAGGTCAGAAAGTAAATCCATTCTTATTGAGTCAAGTAGAGAAGTTGAACCAAGGTGTTGAGAGTGAGTTTAGATTTGGAGTGGATGGAGTCTTGAGATTTAAGGATAGGTTGTGCATTCCTAGTGTGCCAGAGCTTAAAAGAGTAATCCTAGAAGAAGGTCATAAGAGTAGCCTTAATATCCATCCAGGAGCCACTAAGATATACCAAGACCTTAAGAAGATGTTTTGGTGGCCTAAGATGAAGAGGGAAGTGGAGGAATTTGTGTATGCTTGCTTAGTATGTCAGAAAGCTAAGGTGGAACATTAAAAACCTTCAGGTCTGATGCAACCTTTAGATGTGCCTGTGTGGAAGTGGGATAGCATCTCTATGTATTTTGTAGTTGGATTACCTAAGACTGTGAAGAACTTGGATGCTATATGGGTTATTGTGGATAGATTGACTAAGTCCGCTATTAGATATCCTTTGGAGAGGTTAACCAAGTTATACATCAGTGAGATTGTGAGGTTGCATGGAGTTCCTGATAGTATAGTGTCTGATAGAGATCCTAGGTTCACCTCTAGATTTTGGGAGAGTTTGCATAAGGCTTTAGGCACCAAGCTTAGATTGAGTTCAACCTACCATCCCCAAACAGATGGCCAAACTGAGAGAACCATACAATCTTTGGAAGACTTGTTGAGGGCTTGCATCTTGGAACATGGGGGTAGTTGGGATAGTTTCCTACCTTTTGATAGAGTTTACCTACAATAATAGCTACCATTCCAGTATTGGGATGACACCCTATGAGGCTCTGTATGGTAGGAGATGTAGAACACCTTTATGTTGGGCAGAACCTGGAGAGAATGCCATGTTAGGACCTGAGATAGTTCAACAAACTACTGAACAGGTTAAGATGATCCAAGAGAAGATGAGAGCAACCCAGAGTAGGCAAAAGAGTTATAATGACAAGAGGAGGAAAGACCTTGAGTTTAAAGAAGGTGATCATGTATTTCTTAAAGTCACACCTTGGACAGGAGTAGGTAGAGCACTGAAATCCCGTAAGCTTACTCCACGTTTCATCGGTCCTTATCAAGTTCTTAAAAGGATCAGTGAAGTAGCCTATCAAATTGCCTTGCCTCCATCTCTTTCAAATCTCCATAGTGTCTTTCATGTTTCTTAACTCAAAAAGTATGTCCATGATCCTTTCCATATCATTTAGTCTGACAACATTCAGTTGAAGGATAATCTTACCTATGAAACAATTCCTTTAAGGATTGATGAAACAAGGGTGAAACAACTAAGAGGAAAGGAAATCCATGTGGTTAAGGTCGTTTGGGGAGGAAATTTTGAAGAAAGTGCTACATGGGAGTTAGAAAGCAAGATGCGAGAAGCTTAACCATTTCTGTTTTCAGGTAAATTTCGGGGACGAAATTTCTCAAAGGAGAGGAGAATTGTAACACCCCAAATTTTTTTACTATTACAATGTTGATTATTATTTATTTTTGTATAGTTATTTTAGTTAATTAAAGGGTTTATAAAATATTTTTAAAGATTTGTAATAATTTAATTATTTATGAAAATTTTTATATAAAATTCTGTTTCTTTACGCTGGAACGGGCTGTTCCAAAAGTGGAACGGGCCGTTCTAAACGAAGAAAATAACTTATTTTCTAAGTATCAGTGTGACACCCTTACTATCCCAACACATATATTGAAATTTTATAAATAGACTAAAGAATAAATCTTTCAACGTTGGTAAAAGGGTTCACATAAAAACCTTCACAAATGTTCTTCAATATACAAAATGATTTAAAATAAATAAATTAGAAAATGAAACATAAGAGTTCACAAATTATTATTATTTTTTAGATAATAAATACAGCTCCAAATCCATATAAAAAAACCCATGTCCTAGAAATCCTCTGCCTCGATGTCACAATATCAAAGTATACCAACAATTCAACCGTTGGCATTCTAGATGCCACTCATAGCCGGATCTTCCTCACCTAAAACATCCAAAAAATCGTACGGTGAGAAAAGAATATATATATATATATACATATATATATATATATATATCATAATTTATCAATTATGCCTCAAATCACCATTACATCAATCCATCACAATCCACACAAATCTTACAATTAACACTATGCCATGGCCACGCCACATCGAACATAAGTGATACGTGTTAATTGTCTCACTCAATCACCTACCTAGGGATCGTATCATCCCTGATCAACCAGGAGTACGCTCGTCCCTGAAGCATCACCTACCCAGGGTTCGTATCATCCTTGATCATTGAGGGGTACGCTCGTCCCTGAAGCATCACCTACCCAGGGTTCGTATCATCCTTGATCATTGAGGGGTACGCTCGTCCCTGAAGCATCACCTACCCAGGGTTCGTATCATCCTTGATCATTGAGGGGTACGCTCGTCCCTGAAGCATCACCTACCCAGGGTTCGTATCATCCTTGATCATTGAGGGGTACGCTCGTCCCTGAGGCATGAGTGTGAGGAACCACCATTACAATCACAATCACAATCATATCCATACAACATCTCATATCATACCTTAATTCCATATCATATACACACCCCTCAAGCAATTCACATCTAGATCATCAATTCTTGTCAATTAATATAACAATGACATTAATAAAATTAATATAATAATAAATAGAATTATCAATTTGATATAATTTTAACATAAACAGTAAAACCCTCAATTATTCCAAAACCTAACTCACAGGCAATTTTCTATAGTTTCTTTCTCCCTCTCAGATCATCATTCTTACAAATTAAATATGTATTTCTAATCCTCAACACATACAAAATCTAATGGGATCATCAATTTCGCAAATAGAAATATTCCAATTTTTTCCAAAACCTAGCTTACAGGTACTTTTCTATAATTTCGTTCTCTCTCCCAAAGCATCATTCTTACAAATAAATCATATATTCGTAGTCCTAAATATATACAAAATCAAATAAGACCAATAATCCTCCAAGCAGAAATAGTTATAAAATTACTCATAATCCTAAGGGATTCTTCCTCTACCGAATTCTCTCATGTAACTCTACATATAAATAATTCCTTTTTCCCCCGTACTTGGATAAACAACAGTTGAACTAAAACAGAGATCTCTTGGTCTCCTACTCTAAGAGCCCCTTCGGTCTTCAGAGAGAAGGAGAGGGAAAGAAAAGAGAGCAGAAGAGAAAAGGAAGAAAGGATGAGAGGTGTGTTTTTGGAGGAGGTGAAGAGCTCTATTTATAGGAATTCTGGCTCACCTACTGCAACGGCCCGTACTGAAAGCGGAACAGCCCGTTCTGGGACCTTCAAATATACGTACCATTGGAACGACCCATTCCAATTAAACATTTTAGGCATTTTCCTTACTTCGGAACGACCCGTTTCACTTTGAGAACGACCCGTTCTGAAAACCCAAATAGGCATTTTTTTCTAATTTGGAACAACCCGTTCTACTTTTGGAACGACCCGTTTTGCTTCTCCAAAAATTGTTTATTTGCAACAATTGGAACGGTCCGTTTCATTTTTGGAATGGCCCGTTCCGGGCTACCGAAAGTAGGTATATTTAGTCATTTGGAATGGCCCGTTCTGGGCTACTTAAACCACTTAATTGGGCCCTTGGCCCATTAAAAATTGGGCTGTTACAATTCTCCCCTCCTTTATGAAATTTCGTCCCCGAAATTTTTGCAACAATGGGCTCCTATGCAACCTCACTACCTTTTTTATGTACAATTTTATCAATTTCACCAAGGAATGTCTATTATCAAAAATAGTAAGCCAAGTAAACTTGACGAGTCTATCCATTATAACCCAAATAGAATCAATCTCTTAAGTATCTTAGACAAACCTATAACTAAGGTCTATCCACTCACCATTTCACTTTCAAAATGGGACGTCTAAGTGCTACAAAATTCCTAAAGACTTCTAGCATACTAAACACGAGTATACAGTTTCTCTACTCTTCTCTTCACCTTAGGCCACCAAGTTTTCGCTGCGCCACATATTAGTAGCTCCTAAATGATTGTTAAGAGTACTCTCATGTCTTTCCTCTAAGATCATCTTCCTAGATTCAAGATTACTAAGCACCCAACTTTGTTCTTGCACCTCAAAACAACGTCGATTTCTACTCAGAAAATGGTTATCTATATTCGTACCAATCTTCTCCACTTGGTTCCCTAAGAAAGGATCTGACTCCTAGGCTTCTCTAATCTCATCCATTAATTCACTAGTCACTTTCAAGATAATCAATTCAATGTTTCTAAGGGTAATCTTACACACCAAGCATAAGTCTCTAAATTCTTCAATCAAATTCAACCCTTAAATCATCAAAAATGGTATATCAGAGGTCATCATAATCAAGGCATCTGCCCCAATATTGTTTTTACTTCTATGATCGTCTCTAAAGATCAAGCACCTAAGCGTAAGTTCACTAGATATACATATCAGATCTCTAATTTCACCACTTTATCTACACCCAAGTCAAACTTTTATCCATCATCTTATCCTATAGCCTCATATCTTGTCACCAAAATGGATCAACTAATCAATCCATTCGTTACTCAGGTCATACTTGGTCTCACACTACTAAGGATAACCTTATAAGCCAAACTTAAATCTCTAATTTGAGCTAAAAGATCCATCTCTCTAATCATAAGGAAAGGCAAATATAAAGGTCTCATACTCAAAGCATCGGTCACCAAACTAGCTTTACTCAGATAAAAACTAAGTTTGAAATATTAATCTTCCAGAAATTTAAACTATCTCTTTTGTCTCATAATTTAACTCCTTTAGTCAATAGGTAATTAAGGCTCTGATGATCAATAAATATCTCAAGCTTAGAATCATATAGGCAGTGTCTCTAAATATTACAACTGCTACCTTAAAATCATAGGTAAGGTAATTCCTCTAATGAGTTTTCAATTGCCTAGAATCACAAGCTACTACCTTTCCTTCCTGCATCAACACTCCACCCAAACCTATCTTAGAACATCAACCTATACCACAAAAGGCTTACTAAGATTAGCCAATGCTCATACTAGTGCACTAGTCGATCTTTCCTTAAGGATTTGGGAACTACTCTCGCACTTACTATCTCACACAAAACAACACTCTTCTTAGTCAATTTGTTCAAAGGTAATGCTATCTTAGGAAGTTATTCAATAAATATCCAACAACAATGAGCTAATATAATAAAACTCATAACCACACTAACTGACTAAGGTATCTCCCTCTAAGCACAACTTCTACCTTAAATAGATCTATATTATACTTTCACTAGAAATTATAAGACCTAGAAAAATCACTTCATACAATCAAAAATCATACTAATATAACTTAGCCTAAAGTTGTCTTGGATATATCTTCACCCTTAATTCTAATATGATGATATCACATCCTAAGATCAATCTCCCTAAACACACAAACATTTACTAATTGATTCATAAGGTCATCTATCCTCTTATCAACATACAGGCATATCAAATCATATTAGAAATACCTATTTAAACATTCATATATACCATTCCTGAGCATGTATGAATGAATCACTGTTTACACCATATAGCATGTACATGAACCAACCTTATCACATAGCATCATACCATCGTAAACAACCTCTCAATGACAACACCTCAGAACATCATATCCAAAATAGTTTCTATCCTTGCTATGCCTAACAACTCAAAACATCATGACACCATACGTATGTCTTAACAATTGCCAAAGAGAATGATCCCTAGAGTGTTATACTCATCCAAATGATCTCAAACTTATCGTAAAAGAAAGCTAAGAGAATAAGCTACAACTCTTATTAAGGAAAAGATTCTAAAAAGATCATATTCTTCAGCTAAAAATTCTAAAACCACAACAAATATATTCAGTGCTTACAACTAGTCTTCTGATCACCAAAGCAGTTATAACCAAAGTTCTAGACCTCCACTTTACTTGATTCCAATTCCATTAGAAAGATAACGTCCAAGGATACAACTTTCATGCAGACCACAAAATCTAAATCTGTCAATACAGTACTCATACTGAGACAACAAAACTGTAACAAAAATATCCTCTACACCAAACAGCAATAGTGTATCAATATATCTAAGGCCACAAAAATACCTCAACCCTTCCTAACTCACACCTCAACTTCACATTCAAGCTTCCCACTACAATCCTAAACCAAAACAACTCACATATTTAGCACAACAGACTTAGAAAATAAAACTCACATTCTACCTAAACCATAAAAGGTAAACATGAAAGCATCAAACTCCAGAAATCATTAACACTTCCATCTCTCCTTAGAATACCAAAACTCCAATTCTTAGATACAACCTCCTTGGATTCAATCGCTATAACTAAACATTC